CCCACAACTCTCTCTGAGCTTTAGCGATTCCTTTTTCAGTGTCACCAGCCAGACGAAGCTGTTCCTACATCTAGCTGTGTCTGCACCACAGTGCTTGCTTCAAGGTCTGAATCTGTTTTCCATTCAGGCTGGGAACTTGCCGGAGGAGGACAGAAGTGCTGACTTGATACTGTTGTGAACTCCAGTGTTCCCCAGTTCATCTTGTTCTGCATCCTTAGGGAATAACACCACCAGACATCAATTCTGTAATGTTTTGTACTTAACCTGGAAAGAAAGGATAGTATGCATTCCGTCCATCCCACCCCAGATATGAATCTTTACTAAGTTTGTTTTAAATGTATTTTAGATACAAGTTGTGTGTAGATCAGTCAAATGACTTGCAAATATTTTCTATGGTCCATGGCTTATTATTTTATTCTAGCACTATTTTTGAAAAAAGAGATATGCTAAATTTTTGGATGCATAATTTATCTCTTTTTCTTTTATGAATTGTACTATTGAGGTCATATTTAAAAAATCTTCATCTAACTCCACGTCACAGAAGTGTGTCAGCATACTTTATTCCAGAAGTATATAGATGTTGGTTTTTACATTTATGTCAACAGTACATCTTGAATTTTGGATATAAAGTGAGATATATGTTGAAGTTCATTTATTTGGATATGGTGGTCAAATGGTTCTAGCAGTTTTTGTTGAAAACACAAATACATTTTTCTTCGGACTGCCTTCACACTTTTGTAAAATATCAATTGTCTCCAAATGGGGTTCTATTTCCAGAACCCAGAAATAAAATCATACTTAGAGATAACTGATATTTTACAAAATACATGTTTGTTTTTTCATTGTAGTAAAGTATATATGCAATATTAGCATTTAAATCACTTACAGGCATGTCGTTTAATGGTATTAACTATCCAGTGTTGTGTAACTATTAAAACCATCTATACATAATTATTAATCATTAATATATACACTGTGTAGTCCTTAAACAAGGACCTCCCTCATCCTAGTCCTTCATAACCACTATTCTTTTTTCTGTCCCTCCCGAGTTAACTTCCACTATTTCATGTAGAATCATACAGTGTTTGTCATAGGACTAGCATATTTTAGCTAGCATATTATTTTCAAAGTCTATATTGTAGCATATAGAAAAATTTCACTCATTTTTGTGGCAAAACATATCCTTATTTAAATGTATATTCCACATTCTACTTATTCACTCACTTTTGATGGGCCTTCGGTTGTTCCACAGTTTAGTTGCTGTGAATGATGTTGTTACTGACCTTGATGCACAAGTATTTGCTCCAACTTCCTGTCCGCTTTCGAGCCTATTGGATCAGATGGTATTTGTGTATTTAACTTCTTGAAGAATTGCCAAACTACTTTTTACTTCTCTGTTTTGCATTTTTGTCAGAACTGTGTAAGAACCCAGTTACTCCACATATCCCCAACACTTGGCATTTTCCGGTCTTTAAGCATAGTCATCCTGTATGTGTGAAGTGGTATTCCATTGCTTTGATTTCTGTGTCTCTGAAGACTAACGTGTAGTTTCCTTTCATGTGGTTGTCATTGAGGACATGTCTATTCACGTTCTTTGCCAATCTTTGAATTGTGTGAGTCTTAGAATTTCTTTCTCAAGATTTCTTTGGCTATTAATTAGTCCATATAATTGGCATGTATGAACTTAAATATCATCAAATTCAGCAGTGTTTTGTAGTATTCAGTGCATAGTGTTTTACATCCTGGGTTAAATTAATTATGTATTTATTCCTAAGTGTGCTATTGTAAACAGAGTTGCCTCCTTAATTTCCTTGTAAGGTTGTTTGTTGCTAATTTATAGCAACACAGCTATACTTTGTGTCAATCTTGGACTTTGCAACTTCGTTGCACTCCTAAGCTCTTGCAGATTCTTTGGGGTTTTGTGTGTTGAATCACATGCTATATGATCCCAATGATGGCGTTTCTCCTTTCCAATTGAACTTGTTTGATTTCTTTTTGTTTAGTAACCAGGACGAGATTTGCCGTACCATTGTGATGGCCATTCTTGGTTGTCAATTTGAACACATTTGGAATTCAACAAGGGGCTGGGCACACCTGTGAGGAATTTTTCTTGATTGAATCATTTGAAGTGGGAAGACCCATCCTATATCCAGATCTTTTGAAATGGGAGGAACCTTAAATCTGGGTCGCACCTTTTGGGGGCAGCCTGTATATAAAAGGAAGCACTTTGCCTGTTTTCCATATGGAATCATCTGACCATAACCTGTAAGCCAATATCTATATCTATATCTATATCTATATCTATATCTATATCTATATCTATATCTATATCTATATCAATATCGGATTCTCTAGCAAACCCTGACGAATACAGATTTTGGTACCAGAAGTGGTTCTAGAGCAAAAAGGGTGTAAGGATGAATATTTTAAGTAAGTGTAACAGACTTTCCAATTTGCCAGCACCTACAGTTACTGAAGCTTCTTCTTACATGCTCGGAACTTGCAACATAAGCAGTCATGGAGTCCCAGGCATTTGCCTGTCTTTGGCTCCCCAGGTTCTGGGATTCCAGTACATGTCACTGCACTTGGCTTTTTTTTTTTCCCCTAACAAGGGTTCGGGGATCACACTGAAGTCTCAAGTGTTCATGCTTGCAAAGCAAACCTTTCCTGGCAGAGCTGTCTACTCAGCCAGAGTTGTTCCTCTAATAGTTCACACCTTTCTGTTTCTTCATATGCTTCTGAGTCTCAGTTTTGGTTGAAACTGGATATCATTATGTTAACATGTTTTGAAATCACTGCTGAAGTTTGTCTCTATTCCAGGGATTAACCTGAGGGAAAAGCTTAAGTCTTTCTTGGGTCCTTTTGAGTCTGTGCTTTCCTTTGGTATACGTGGTAAGTTCTTCCTAAATTCCCTCATGTGTATGGTTGCCATGATTTACTCCAGTCCCTAAATATCTGCCTCTTCAGTGGGAAGAATTGGAATCGGAGAAGATACTGCTGTTGCTTCCGATGGAGGCCTCCATGGCTGGCCTTCGCAGGGCCACTTTTCTCCTGGAAGACAGGAACTTTAAACAGACTCTGGAATCCTAATAGTGCCTTCCGAATGCCTCTGCTGTCATAATTGTTCCCTAGGTAGAGGGGTGAGTGCCTGGCGAGTCCTACTCCTCTGGCTTCCCAGACACCATGGTAGCAAATCTTTTATAGAGTTCCTTCCTCACCAAGGAGGGAGTGCTCACCCTCCTCAGTGCTCTCAAGGGCAGGCAGAATGTGCTGAGGTTTGGCTAATGTGGAAGTAGACAGGCCCTTGGAGAAACTGCAACATCAGGTTAATTCTTCATCAGGACAATCATGCTGCCTCGTTTGAAGGTACTCCTAGAACTGAAACTCTGATGTTTGGAGCTTTCTTTCACTGAATGCAAGGCTTCCTTTTCTTGGGGACTAGGGTCTCTTGTTGGGTACACAACCTTCACCTGATTCGTGTAGTATATGACTGTCAATCTTAATTGCCATCTTGACTGGATTTACAATGATGTAAGAGACGGGTACACTTCTAGGCACATCTTTGAGACCGTTTCTAGGGAGAATGAACTGTGGAGAGAAATCTGCCTTCACTCTGGCACATCTGTGGGCTGTGGACTTGTGTTGGATAAATGGGGAACACGAGTGAGACAGCGGAGTGAAGCTGCTGTGCTCTAGTGTGCCCTCCCTCCCCACTGTGATGGACTGACACCTTTGAAACCATGAACTCAACAGCCTTTCCCTCTCCTTAAGTTGTCTCTTTGGGTCACAGAGATGCAACAAGCAAGTTTGGGAGTGTTCTCTTGCACAGTGTACTCAGAATGAATAGGAATGGTCACATTAGCTCTCAGAGTCCTGACAACTTGAATAGTTTCTCACACCTAATATCTCTGAGTGGAACATGTCATAGCCTTTCTGCTTGTCCCTAGAAGGCAGTAGTTCCTGTGATTCTTTATTGTGTCTTACTTAGTACGTCCATATCCTATATATTCACTGGATGGGACATTCCCCACAGGAATTTACTTCAAGGAGTCTCTTTTGAACCTAATAAACACATATACAAGTACACATGAGAACTTTTACAAATACACTTACTTGTATGTAACAAATATTAGAACAGTAATTCTCAAGCCTTGCTACTCCAGAGGATCACCCAATGAACGTTCCCCAAACCTTGATTCTATGCGCAAACCAGATTGCTTTTCCTAGTCTACATTTTCAATTTTGATATGAAGTCAAGTTGTACAACCAGTCCTCTAAATATTAAGAAAATTCAGAGGCTGATATAGAATGTTTGGGGCTAGAAATGCTGCTCAGTGGTCCAGCAGCATACAGAGTCGGGGGTTCCAACTACAACATAGCCAGGAAACAGATTCCTTTGCTTTATATCCTGTTTTGGAAGACAGTCTAGGTAATACATAAGAACGGGTTTTGAAGTTTACCGAGTAGGTCTTGATTCCATCATGGCTACCTACTGGCTTTTATCTTTAGACACATAACTTAATCTTTAAGCGCTTCAGTTTCTTGGTCTGTAAAAAGGGAGGCGTTAGGGTTACGATGAGGCTTTATGCAGGCAGCACTGGCACAGTACTTGGGCTGTAGCACACAACATTGGCTGCTTACTTGGTGTGCAAGAGCGCCACTAGATTCGTCCAGGAGCAGAAGTCTATAGCAGGAACACCTTCTCCATCTGGCACTTGGGAAATCAAGAAACTTGTAGGTTCAAGGGGCACCGCAGCTACACGGGATTTAGGCAAGCGCTGGTCCTGCGGTGAGATGGCCGCAGCGCACGCCCACCAGGGGGCGCCCGAGCGACCTGAGCTCTTGCGCCAACCGCGCGGCGCCCACGCGCGTGCTCGCTAGGGACGCGGAACCTCCGCCTCGGTCGCCGCCGCGTCCTTTGCGGGCTCCCGAATTAGACTTCTGTTTTCCCGCTGCCTAGCCCCAGGCTCACTCGGCCGCAGCCCCAGCGTCTGCGCCACGACGGCCCTCGGTCCGTGGGCTGCGGACGCCCCAGCCCGATGCTGCGCTGGCTGATCGGAGGAGGCCGCGAGCCGCAGGGCCTGGCCGAGGTAATGGGCGCGGGCCCGGGGGAGGGACCGGGGCGGGGCCAGGGGTGGGCCTAGGGGGTGGGCCTAGGGGGTGGGCCGGGGGCGGGCCCTGCGGCGAGCGCCGGAAGCCGCTGCTGGGGACATGCCTTGTCTCTGTTCAGAAAGTGGTATTTAACTACAAACCAGCAGGGGTGACCACCACTCTTGATTTATCTGAAGTCTTCTCAGCCTGGGCTGGCGTTTGCTTAAGGAATGTGAATTTAACTAGTTGCTTTCCGAGAAGCTAAATGAGAAAATGATTTCTGTTTATTTAGTTTGGTCTCATTGTCACATTGAAAAAATAATTTTATCACCTTAAAAATGTTGAAATCTGAAACATATTTCATGTGCCACACAAAACAAGTTGTGTTACGTTTTCTTCCTCATAGGAAGCATTTTGCAGTTAAAATTATTGCAAACTTTGCGGTTTTAAATTCCTCATAGCTTCGACATTGACAACTGTGTGTGTGTTTTTAATCACTTAAATAATATAATTTTGAAGACCTTCAGGTTATGGAAGAATTGTGGATTATTGAATGGACACATAACATATATATGACTATCTGCTTATTTAGTTAGTATAATGTTTTTATTAACCAGTTCTGTCATACCTGGTAAACTCTAACTTGTGGGAAAGTTTCCATAATTGAGTGACAGCTAGAAAGAAGACCAGACAACTGTAAAACCGTCACCATGGGATAAACTTTCCCAGAAAGCATTAATGCATGCTGGCTCTTACATTTTTTTTTCACACAAGAGTACTTCAATTGTGTGACTGCTTGAATATGTACAGCATAAGCACTGGTGTTTTCCCCTAATGTACGAGACGACATTACATTATGAATTACAGTCAGCCTTCCAGTCTAAGTGAGTCTATCCTGAGGTAATCCTGTCCCCAGAGGATATTACAGTGTCTACTGTTGGCCATGGGTAGGTGTGATGGGCCAGTGTGTGGAGAAGGATGCTGCTGGAGTGTTCTCACACCCAGGTTCTCTTTGTTCCTCAGGAACAAAGGCCTAACGTAGTCCCAACTGTCGCTTGTCAGACTTCAGAAACCTTGGTTAAGAACAAAGCTTCTTATGGGAAATTGTACCGAGTTTGACTCCAGAAACAGGGTCAGTTAAGACTTACCCTGCAGAGTTAAGTTACACAGTGTGTGTCATTAGCACAGAGTCTGCTGTGCTGTCTTCCAGATAGGACTCTGCATGCTGAGCTGTCTCATCAGCTGTGTGGCCCACAGCTGGACACATGAGTCTGGTTTCATTACTATATTTAATCCTTGAAGCAGACTTCTGAATGCTTGCACTGGGCTGCCGTTGCCATGTTTGATTCATTTAGTCTGCTGCTTTGTTTCTAACAAAGCCTGTGTGTGTGTGTGTGTGTGTGTGTGTGTTTATGTGTGGGAGTGCACATGTGTTTGTATGTTTGAGCATATGCATCTGTGTGTTTTCATATGTCTGAAAGTATTGTGTTTACATGTGCGTATGTGTGTGAGAGAGTATATATATGCATGTGAAAGTGCCCATATGTTTGCATGTTAGTATGCATATGTATGTGTGTGTACCCTGTGAGTACATAAGTGAATGGGTGTGCATGTGTGCATATATGTATGTATGTATGTATGCATGTACATGTGAGAGAGAATGTACATGAAAACTTGTAGGGGTCAGTTCCTTTCCTTCCATCCTGAGGGCCCAGGGAGAAACTCAGGTCATCAGGTTTAGTGACAAGTGTCTTTACCTGCTGAGCTAGCTCCCTGGTCTCTAACAAATTTTGATTGAGAAACTCCTAAAATAATTAAGTTAAAGTCCGGTTTATTGAGATTCAACAAAATAAAGTTTACTGTTTACAAGTTTATTGTGGTTTGAAAACACTAAAGGTTTTGGTAAGAGAAATACTTCCATGCAGAACTGGTAAATTACCTACCTGATACTGTAGGAACCTGTATGTATTAGCATTAGAACATAGTCTCTTGTGGCTTCTAAAATCTTTTGTTCTTCCATGAATACTGTGTGGTTAAAAATCATTTTATGTTTATGTTTTTTTTTTTTTATTCACTACAAGAAAGCTGCTTTGCAGACAATAGGAGAGGACCAAGGTCAGAACCCCTACACTGAGCTGCTGGTGCTGAAGGCTCATCGGGACATTGTCCGCTTCCTGGTACAGCTAGATGATGACAGGTAAGGGACTTACTCCGTCGAGTGGCCACTGTTTACAAAGACGATTTAGAGCACTTTATGTTTAAAATGACTGCAAACTTAACTTACCTTTTGTAAAAAATTTCAGAGTTCTGAAACAGGCACTATTTTCGCTAGTTTAGAAGAAGCAAATGACTGTAAGAATTTGATTGAGTTGTAGCTGTCAAATTCAAGAATCAAGTATGTGTGGTGTTTAATTTAATATTAGGTACCTGCTAGAATATGTTGTTTTGAGTGGAAAGTAAAGTAAGGTTTGTCTAAGTTAGGGTTTTACTGCTGTGAACAGACACCATGACCATGGCAAGTCTTATAAAGGACAACATTTAATTGGGGCTGGCTTACAGGTTCAGAGGTTCAGTCCATTATCATCAAGGTGGGAGCATGGCAGCATCCAGGCAGGCATGGTGCAGGAGGAGCTGAGAGTTCTACATCTTCATTTGAAGGCTGCTAGGAAAATACTGACTTCAAGGCAGCTAGGATGAGGGTCTTAAAGCCTATACCCACAGTAACACAGCTACTCCAACAAGGCCACACCTTCTAATAGTGCCACTCCCTGGGCTGAGCATATACAAACCATCACAAGGTTTTAATCTGAATTTCTGTCATTGACAAACCTTTTTAAAACTACATATTATTCTTCAGTTCCTGGGTATCATGCATTCAAGCAGAGACAGCACTGTTGGTGTAACTTCCTAATCTGATCTCTAAGGCCCTGAGTGGGGACTCTGATCTTACTATCTTATTATACATTATTCGTAGTGCTTAGTGCAGTGACTTAACATGTGGCCTGTGTTAGCAGGTAGCTGTTACGTGAGTGAGTGCTCCAGCTTATGCACAAGGGCTGTGGCCTGCCCGACTACGTGGCTCTGTTGTCCCTGCCAGTTCCTCTGTTGACTTTGCTGCATTTTTTTCTTTCAAGCTCATGAGTGACTGTGGGTCTGTAGTGCCTGTGTGTGGGCGTGGGTTCTGTTGGGCTGAGTTGTGTGTCTGCCACCCCAGGCAGCTCAGGGAGGCAGAAGTGTGGGAATTTGACTGAGTTTACTCCACACGGTGCCAGAGCAGACACTGGGCTATGAGAAGCCACTGAGCTCTACTCTGGGCATGGAGAGATCTCAGTCTGAGACCCAGCGGAGGCAGAGCCCTTGGGTTAGAGGTCTCTGGGCCAACATGGCTGGCAGGAGACCGGTGGTCTCAGTCTTTGGGCCCAGGTGCCACTAGGAGACTGCAGAAAGACTGAGACAGGGGGCATATGGGCTGGGCCAGCCCACAGCCGAGAGGGGTGAGGGAGAGAAGTCTGGCAGCGCCCCGCAGGATGGATGAGACTCTTGGTCACAGTGACTCGCCTGGCTGGGTCATGGCTGGCTCTGCTAGCTTGCTTTAGTTGGCAAGCCTCCATGGCAGGAACGTAGAGAAGTCCTCGGTGGGATATCAGGCAGCTGCTCAATAGTTGAAGACTGTCTCCACGGTCCCCCACAGGTCCCAAGTACAAGAGGAACTCCATGGCTTTAAAAGGTTTATTGTCATGGCAGAAAGTGGATGCAGCTGTACCCCATGTCCTCAGGGCAGGCCTGAGGTTAAATACCTTTTGCAAGTAGGAGGGATTGGGAAGAAATGCTTAATTGGCTATGCCCTCTGGCTTTTAGGTAACTCATGAATATGGAGATCTCTTGAGGCTCTTTGGCCTGTAGTCATGCCCTCTACCTGTGCTACTTGTGCTACGTGACCTAAGGCCACAAACCTTTCTTTGGGAGGGGCTGTGGATAAGTGAAAGAAACCCAGGAGCAAGGCTGAACACCTACTGTCCCATTAGGGTCCGGGGTTTAAGGCCTGTGCTCAACCAGGTACCCAGCTGCCTCTCACAGCCCACTGCCCTACAAATGACTACAGCTGTGATAACTTTTAAGCCTCCCGCTCCTGATGTCTGTTGACTGGGGCTTTCTTGGCTTTTTATTATGTGTAGTTTATTTCTGACCCATGTGAAGGTAGGACTTATTTCTAAGATAATCAGAGTTCTTCACAGCATCCCCCTCACTTCAAACATCTGTGTCTCCAAATCATCTGCACTTCTGGCCAGCTAACTGCAAGTCCCAACTTCTTCCTTGGGTTTGAAAGTTGACTAGAAGAACTCAGCAAAGCCTTCTACTAAAGTTTATGCTTCTATTATAAACTAGACATCAAGATCTGCTGGATAGATTTAGTTAGAGGGAGGTGGAGAGTCCCACATGCAGAACTGCCACATCCTCAGGACTTGCTGCCTTTTTAATACATTGTGTGTATCACCAATCTGGGAGCCCACTGGAACTTTGGGCTTACAGTTTTGAGGTGGGGTGTCACTGTGTAGGCACGCTTGTGTAGCGAGTGACTGTCACAAGGCTTTCAGTCCCTTCCTTGGAGGTTGGAAGTCCGCCTGATGCCCTGTGGTATCACTGAGACAAGGTCTTTCCATGGCTCATCTTCAGCATAGCCCACCCCCTTTTGCATCATGTGAGAGCCTGCATTCAGCCATCCATTAAGATGGATATTGAGGACACTTCTATCACTAAGGAAATGTCAGGGGTTCAGAGGTACCACCTTTCTAAGGAACTAAAGGCCAAGACCAACAAAATACTTACACACTGTGTCTCCACACATTATTAACAATATTGCACTATTTTCTCATTGTGCTGGAAGACAACCAAGTCACAGCATGTAAGTGTAACCCTGGCACATAAACTTTAGGCCTTTGGTTAACATTTGTTCTCACTAAATATCCTTAGAAGTTTAATATTTATCCTTTTAAAAGACCATTTCTGTGGGAAATAGCATTTTTGAAAAGGTGGGATTTTGGGGTAGCTGAAGGTTTCATGTGTCATATTTAATTCTAGTAAGGTGCTGGGTTAAAAATACCCAAATAGTAACTTATAGCCACTATTACATAAGGATTCTAAAATCATTCTGTTTGCAAGGTTATATAGTAAATATAAAGGGTACTCTCAGGATCTAGACTTTAAATTTTATACAGACTGTTAGGGTTGAATGCGCATGCTCTCTGTCCTTCATGATATGTCCTCTAAGTTATTATTACATAGCTAGGGGAGTTGGGAAACAGGGCCGAGGCATAGAGTAGTGGGCGGTGGGTGAGTGCTGACAGACAGTACGCTTCTCCACAGTGACACTCATGAACACTTCACTACTTACTGACAGGAACAGTCTGTGAACAGTGAAAAGCTGTAGCTGGGAATATTAGAGATTTGTTGCTAAAGTGTCACCTAAACTTAATGGTTTGAAGCAAAACAAGCGACACATACTTCGTTTTAGCTTTTTATTCCATTAGGTGGAAGTGACTTGGCTGGCAGAGTCTTTTCATTTGGTATTTGAATTAGGTTTCACACATGTGCCTGCCTTTGGCCTGAGTGAGGTGAGATTGGGGGTCAGGGTAGTGGCCTTCCCCATCCACGTGGTGCTTTCACATAGCAATGTGCAGTTGTGATACTGTGGGACAAATCCCAGAGCATGACACTTGGATGCCTCTGCTTGTGTCATGTTTGCTGCTGTCCTATTGATCAAATGAAGAGCAACAGAGGCCACTGGGCCCCTCTCCATGTGTGCACAGCAAGGTCCTGGTACACGTGGCACCTGTAGGTGGAGGGTAATTTATGGTCATGCTTGCTGTGTGCCATGGTGGATTTCAGTGTCTACAGTGGACGAGAAGCCTGCTGTTTCCCTTTAGCACACAGTGGTGATAGACCCTCACAAGTCATTTTGAATTCTTTCTAATCAAGTCATCATTGTCTCAAGATGTACACGTAGTTAAAAAGAAAGCTCAGTGCAGACCCGCAGAACATTGAATTTTTATGTTCTTTAAACAGATTTAATTTTGTAACAAGGTCATTCCCTAAAATAAAGATTTAACAAATATATGGAAAATCTGTTAGTTATGATATTAGGAAGACAATCCTCAATGATTTACTGTTAAAGTTTGATGCCTTCCCCTCCCAGAATTGGAGATTGAACCCAAGGTTTTGAACATTCCAGACAAGCATTGTACCATCTGAGCTATATGCTCAGCCCTCAAAATGTGTTTTCAAAAGCTAATAAATAATGTTTGCCCATGTTGCCAAATGGGATGTTTTCATTTTTAATAGTTCCGTTTAGAATTATCTTTGTTATCTCAGCATATTATTAATACACTGTTAAATTCCAGACAATACCTACCCCATTGTTAAACAAATTTCATATGTTACACTTTTTACTTGTTTATTTGTAGTTTGTGTAGATATTACATTCTGGTTGGTCAGCTATTGTAATCCAGGTTTCACGCTTCATGTCTTTAGATAATATCATCTGATTGAAAATTTTGCAGAAGGATTTTCTTGTTTTCTTGGTGGCTCAGCTAAAATCAGTGAATGGAAAATTTTCTCGATTGGTTTTTGAAGATACCAAATAAATCCTGTATATAACCTAACAGACGGCTGCCTTTTCTTCTCCTCTTTGGTACTTTTTGAACATGAAGCGAGGGTCATATTGATTGAGAGATCAGTGAAGAAGGCTAAGCCTCAGCGAGAGCCTTCCAGAACATGGGCAGAGCTACAGGTGCATTCATTGCTCCAGCCTTGACACAGCAAGCTAAACCGAGTCCATAACACAATTGAAGACTAGCTTGCTCTGTTGCTCATGGACAAGTCCTTGCTCCTCCAGGAAGCAGACAAGGTTATATAGGATGGTGATCATGACTGGAAGAGAATCAGATGACCCATGAAGCACCAGACTTCAAAGAAATGTGTTTCCAGGGGGCTGGGGAAGCTGACTTTTTAAGACAGTGTTGATTGACAGCTGAGAATGAAAAGCATGCTCTGCCTTTAAGAAGGTATTTTTAAACTAAGAATATTCCTTCTCATTCACTATGTTCAGGGTATAGGGATCAACCATCAAAATGGCTTCAGAGAGCCGAGGAAAGCGGTATGCCCCTGCAATTCTAGCAGTAGAGAAGTCAAGGCAGGGAC